ATATATATGTATATATATATGCATCAAATTTAATGTAATTTTAGGATGTGAATTAACCTCAACCACAATCCTTTTTGTTATTCATCATCATGACTAGTTTAGGTTGTAGTTAAGTTCATGATGGTTATCATGATATTGCCATGACCACCATGCTTACTATATCATCATCACCTTGATCTTCATCATCAAGCTTGACTTCATCACCATTGACAAGCTCATACTCCAACCAAACGACCAAAATCATCATGTGGAGCAATGTCCACAAAATTATAACCAAAAATACCTTATATTTCTCTTGTTGATTTAAAGAAACCATGTGTTTGTAAGCAAATGCTATGATTGGTTATGCCTAATCTTAACCATGATTAATTTTTCTGGTCTCTTGTTTCACAATCAATCAAGGAAAAGATAGGAACAACCCATGTGCAACGAACGTGGGTATGAGTCTATTATTCAATATAAAACAAACAGATTATAGGTTTCACATGTTTGTTTTTAACTGTTTTTGTAATACAAACTGAACACCAGTAACCCTTTCTGCTACTAGTTTTGGAGCGATATCAACTATAATATTATATACAAACGGCATTTTCAAATGAATCCAACAAACAAGATTTAAAATTTCTAATGGTGGAAGATATTTTTAAAGGAAATACTTATGCAATGAATGAGAATCATGTTGGTCTTTGAATAATATTTGTGTAAACACGATTACAAATAATTACAACCAAATTACCATAGTTTATGGCATATTCATTAAAATGCATAAGATTTGACCAAACGGCCCTGGTCTTGAGGTATCCGGATTAACGATAGAAGCCCTCATCTTCAAGTGGCCAGAGATCAAAACCTCGTCGAAGATGAGAAGGGTGTGAGTTCATTTATCATGTTAAATAACCACATGACATTACACTATACAAATGTAGTAGCGAGGGGTTGTTTGTTTGCATCTGAATGATGTCATCCAGAGTTCACCTCTGAATCGTTCAGAGGATTGTTTTATTTGGTAAAAAAAAAAAAAGTAACCACTTCTTAATCATGCAAAACCCCTCTTAATTGCTCAACTTCCACGATATCACCATATGTCTCCTTAGATCTAGGATTGCCATTATGTCTCCTTTATGATCTGGATCGATTATTTGCTTTCCTATTTTACCCAGCTTTACATTCATCTGTTTCTTGTGGAATTTCATTTGCTGATTTTGGAATTTCATTTGATTAGGAATGAGGTCGATGCGCAGGTTTTGTTTAAGGTAGGCCAGAGAGAGAAACTTTAAAGGGGGAAGTGACTGGGACTGGGGTAGTGGTAGGGGTGTTCATCGGTTGAGATCTGATGGATTTAGGTGGATCCGATCAGATCATCTATTGGATATTGGATTTTGTCATCCGATCCGATCCAACTAACATTGAATATTCGATCCAATCCAATCCAATGGATAATTGGATCAGTTCGCTTCCATCCATTGGATATTATTATTGCTTATCCGTTGGATCGGATTGGATTCATCCAATATTTTGATGGGAAAAGTCTAAAAAAAACCCAATGGACTTTAGTTTTTGGAATGATTAAGTCATTGGACAATTTTTTGGAACAAATAAATTATTGGACATTCCAAAACATGTTAAATAACTCCTTAGACAATTTTTTGGAACAAATAAGTCCTTGGACAAATTAAAACATGTTAAATAACTCATTGGACATTTTTTGAAACAAATAAGTCATTGGACAATCCAAAACATGTTAAATAACTCCTTGGACTTTTCTAAAACCTGTTGGATACATTCTTATGACTTGTACAACTAGTTAAAGTGGTAAAATAATGACAAAAGTCCGAAAAAAACCTCAATGAACATTCATATTTTGAACGATTAAGTCTCTAAATATTTTTTGAACCAAAAAATAAATCATATAAATCGTAAGATGTTAATGATTATATATAATTATTAACTGAATGGTAGTTGGATGATAATTTGATAGTATCATTGGATGGGGAATTGGATAGTTATCGGATTGGATTTGTTCGGTATTGGATGATGGACTTCCATCCAATAACCGACCAATCCAATTTAGTGTTGAAATTTTGGATCCGATCCAATTCAATTACAATTGGATATACAATTATGATAGATCAATTCTAATTAGATCAATCAGTTTAGATTGGATCAGATGACTTTCTACAAACCCATAGACAGTAGGGTTGGGAATGGTATTAATAGGATTTCTCCTAGCATTTATCTTTTCAATTTTTATTTTTTGTTATTATAATTATTTCTTTCAAACATGTTTTTTATTAAAATTATTTGTAGTCTTTTTATTCTACACATTTTTCACACCAAAATTTTTTTGTATATTAAAGTTTTATTAATTATTTTTTTTGTTAAATAATCATATTTCATTAAACAGTAGAGAAGGTTAAATGGGTAATTTTCATGATTAGATGGTTAATTCAGAAAACATACCAAACAATCATTTTTCATTCTGCACTAAATTATACAGAGCACGATAATCATTCAGACCAATTAATGTTTCAACACTAAATTATTCAGCAGTGCCAAACAACCCCTAACTGCTGCAAAAAAAAAAAAAAAAAAAAATTGGGGGGGGGGGTGGAGAGGTAAAAGGTGAGATCGGTAGATGGGGCTCTTTGTTCGATAATTTAGGAGTGCTTATCGTGTGTTTCAAATAGAACTTGCCTGTTTCTTTAAAACTATTTAAATATCTGTACTTTCACCTTTGTCTTTATTTGTAGAACTTATCATAACCTATTTTCTTTCAATTCATTTTTTTCTTTAAAAAATCGTTTTATAACCTTTTGATCTAAATATTCCTTAACTTTTTGATTTATTGAAATTGCCTCTCTACTTTTAGGGGTATACAGAAATAGTGATCCAAATTTTTTTATTACCCTGAGAGTAGAGACACTGTTCCATACATTTCGTCCTCATCGAATCCTATTTTAGTGTGTCATATACTGTATATGTTTGTTTTGACTTGAATTTACATAAAATGTTTGAACTATAGAGTGGTATATCAGTTAGAAATAATGATAAGATGTGCAAGACGACTTGGAAAAACAAATGTGATAATATACACATTGTTACTCAAAATCAAATCTCCATAGTGAGTCATTTAATTTAGTTTATTATTGTGAACATTTGTAAAATTCACCTAAAACACAAAGTTCTAAGGTAGCGTTTGGTATCCAGATATGATTGGACAAGACAGGACAGGACATGACATGACGGAACTGGATAGGGCTGGACAAGGACAAGAGGGTAGGACTGGATGAGACTGGACATGACTGAATAGGACTTGGCATGATTGAATAGAACTGGACAGGACAAGAGGTATGTATAAAGTGTTTTTCATTATCCATTCACCCGTTGCCCGTTTATACATACATACATACATATAATTATAAAAAGTTAAATACTGATATATCTTTTAAAATGTTTTCTTATATGTTGTACAACGTATATTAATTGATATTTAATTTTCTTTTCATATTCATCAACTAAAAGAGTTAATTAGGATAATCAATATGGGGTCGCTAAAATAAATATAATAAACATAAATGTTGTCTTTAGATTTTATATTGTTGTGTAAAATATCACAATATAACATATTTAAAGCAATTTCATAATATTTATTGGAACAAATTAGATTTAAAATAAAGATTATATTTATGAACTTATAATTTACTTATTAATCTTTAACAATATTATTTGTGTTCAAAGTGATTTTTTAACCATTTATCCCTTATCCGTTTTGTTACCTGCTGTATTGGTGGGTAGGATATAGATATATATAAGAGTTTTATGACATGAATAATCATCTGTTTCGTTACCCGCTATTTTAAATGGATTCGGTAACGAATTAACCTTTACCCTACCGATTGCTAGCCCTATTCACAATGTGTTCGTATCATATGTATTCAGTTTATAATGTTAAACTTTTTACTTTATTTTTTGTTTGGCAAACAAATAAAAAAAGTATTCACATTATGAAACAAATATACATGAAACAAACACATTATGAAATAAAAATATGTTAATCAATAACATTGTTATGGTTAATCAACACATTTCAAGAAATTGAAAAAAAATTGTATTCATTAATAATTTATAGTTTTTAAAATACCAATAAATGGCATTTGATTTTATATAATTTAATTTAAAATATATTATAAAACTTTTAAAAACTAATTTTTATGCATGGAGTATTATTTATTGATGCATATTACTTACAATTCAAGATTACAAGTAATTTTGCGTAAGTACAACTTATTAAAGCTTCATTTTTAAATTCGTATAACTAAGATAAACATAATCAAATATAAGATAAACATCTATTATAAATATAGAAAATCTAAAAATATAATTAAAACAATCATTGAGTTTCTAACATAATGTTTAATTATTATTTTTAATAAAAATTATATTATTAAACCAAAAATAAATTACTTTGTTATTAGACTTAAATTAAATTATAATAAAAAAATTGAATTAAAGAAGTTACACCAAAAAAACGAGAACTATTAAATAGTTAATTTAATACTAATATCGATTTATTTTTTTATTTTTTTATGCTATCTTCAAATTTATATTTCATTTAAAAATAAAAACATTATCGTTTTCTTAAAACTACATAAAATCGTATTATATCAATAGAGACAAAAAATAAAAAATAAATATTAAAATAAAAATTTATCTCGTTACATTACGCGAGTACCCTTCTAGTTTAATTTAAAATAATTTTTGCTTGAATTTTTATTTATTTATTAAACTTAAATTTAAATTAATTATTTGTTATAATTTATTTTAAAAACCTTTCTTGAAAAGTCATAGACCTAATTTTTACACAATTTAATCAATATAAATTTTAATATTATTTACTTTCTTATTGTTTATCCTAATTTATAAAAGATTAAACACAAAGTCACGGGTGTAGGGAAAGAGACAACTGAAGAGGAGGTAAATCTCTCTCTCTCTGTGAGTGAGCAGAGCATACCATAATAAACAAGAAAAGTGGGTTTTTCTTAGAGAATCAGAGGATTTTGAATTTGATTATGATTTTGATATTTTTCTTTTTAATACTATTTGTTTCCATTTTGCTTCACATATAAAGCCGCCACTCGTATGCTCATCCATCAATTCATTCATCTCTCCCAAATTCTCATTTCTGCAACTCATATAATTTACAAATCTTGGTGACCCACAAATAACAAGCACCTTAATTTTGCACACTCCAAAACGGGTAATGTTTATCTTTCTTTCTTTCTTTCTTATTGGGTTCTGAAATTTGAAGCCAAAAGGGTTTAATCAACAGAAAGCAAATGAAGTACGTTTTGGTTACCGGAGGTGTTGTTAGCGGACTGGGTAAAGGAGTCACTGCTAGCAGTATCGGTCTTCTTCTTCAGGCCTGCGATCTTCGCGTTACTTCCATCAAGATTGGTTCGTCTCTTATCATTTCCATGTCCATTTCCCCCATTTCTTTCTATGATTTTCTTTCTGTAAACTTCAGTTTTTCGTTTCCCATCTTGATCTTGGATCTATCTGCTTCTTTGTGCTCAAGTTTTTTCTGGGTTTTCTTTATAATTACTCAATAACTGAAAATTTCTTGATTTAATCATATACCCCAACTTCCCATATGAAGTGACTGTTGTTCTTGTTAATTTCTACAGGATTTCCTAAAAAGATTAGATGTGATAATTTCCTGTGTCATTGTTGTATCCGAAGTAATTAAGAGTTTTAACTATTTTGTTTTGGATTAGAGTTAGAGGTTAGAACCCACAATTTAGAGCTTAAAATCAGCTAAACAGAAACTACTGTTTTTAAAGAACGTTTAGCAATGAAACTGTTCATCTTTTAATGGCTATTTATGTTATGCAGATCCGTATTTGAACACCGATGCAGGTACAATGTCCCCTTTCGAACATGGGGAAGTCTTTGTACTGGATGATGGAGGAGAAGTAAGTAACATGTTGATGGTGTTACTCTTTGTTGTCAATGGTTAATTATGGCCTAATTAAGAAAGGAAACCCATTATGGTTATGAATAAATTGATAACAAGCCTTCTTAGTTATGGTTTTCAACAAATTGACTTGATTTTGGTTTGAAGGTGGACTTGGACCTTGGAAATTACGAACGGTTTTTAGATATTAAGTTAACACGAGATCATAATATCACCACCGGGAAGATATATCAGGTACATAAAAGCCACTGCTTGAAATGAGTTAGATCACAAAATGGTTGTACATATGGACTAATTGGTTATGGTTTTTGGGTGAAGTCGGTCATTGATAAGGAGCGAAGGGGCGATTATCTGGGATCAACGGTTCAGGTTGTGCCACATATCACAGATGCCATTCAATCATGGATCAAACGGGTTGCAGCCATACCTGTGGATGGAAAAGAAGGTTCACCTGATGTTTGTGTTATTGAGTTGGGCGGAACTATAGGTATCACAATAAATGTGGTTTCTTTCATGTCCATTTACGATTTTGGGTTATTCTTGTTACTAAAACACGACACCTGTGAACTCAGGGGACATCGAATCTATGCCATTTATTGAAGCTCTTGGACAATTCTCTTATCGTGTTGGTAAATACTCTGCGTGTTCTTTGAATCTTTATCAGGAAAAAATGGTGAAAAGGACCAAAAAGTTGGTAACTTTTAAAGAATTTATAACTTAATTTCAATCTTTTTAGGTGCTGGGAACTTTTGCTTAATACATGTTAGCCTTGTGCCTGTTCTAAATGTTGTTGGTGAACCAGTAAGTACTTGAGAAGTTACTCACCTTGTGTTTTCAGAGGCAAAGAAACCGTAAAAATGAAATAATACCGCTTGCTTTTTCTCTTCTTGTTCAGAAAACGAAACCAACCCAACATAGTGTTCGGGGATTAAGGAGCATGGGATTGGTCCCGAACCTATTAGCCTGCAGGAGCACAACGGTCTCTTTCTATGGGGATACCGTTTATATATGTCTTTTTCTTAACTTTCTTGTTTCTTACCGTCACCTATGAAATTTTAATAAATGTGCAGGAATTGGATGTGAATGTAAAGGAAAAACTCTCAAGATTTTGCCATGTTTCGGTAACGTGATGAGATACCCTTTCTTCGATTTCAACTCATATGCCGTTTCTTTGATTTCCGAAATGACTCTTCTCTTCCTGCAATTGCAGTTACAGAACATAGTCAGCCTCTACGATGTCACGAATATTTGGCACATTCCTTCGCTCTTACGAGTATGTATTCAAGCCGTCTATTGAAGTTCATTCTTGTTGTTAGATCGGTACTCTTAAGCGTTGTTTTCTCTTGTCTTTAGGAACAGAAGGCTCATGAAGCAATATTGAAAGCCCTTGATCTTCTAAGGTTTGTATTCCTTTCATGAATGATTACACTGTAATATGTATTATATTCATACATGAATACTCATAATGAATATACACGCTTTGACTTAACCACTGAAATTATTGTCATGTACAGCGTAGTACGCAAACCAGCTTTGGAAGAATGGACGGCCATGGCTCAGCGTTGTGACATGTTACACGAGCCAGTAAGACCACAAATTCGAATACCGATTTTTAGTTATTTTCTTTGTAAATTGCCGATGGTGATTGTGATTTAACGTCTACAGGTCAGAGTTGCCATGGTTGGGAAGTACACGGGTCTTTCGGATTCTTACCTATCTGTTGTAAAGGTGATGACTTTTACTAGTTTGAGCCACAAATCCGATGTATTTCTGTCGAGTTCCATCATCCTTAACGGTATAGCACTCGTTTCAGGCTTTGTTGCATGCTTCAGTTGCTTGTCGCAGGAAGCTGCTTATTAACTGGGTTTCTGCTAGCGATCTCGAGGATGCAACTGCTTTAAAAGCTATTATCTGATCCATCTTTAGTTCTTTTGTGTATAACGTTCATAAATCGTATAATCTAACGGATATTTTCTTGTTGCAGAGCCCTGACGTTAATAGAGCTGCTTGGAATTCATTGAAGGCTGCCGATGCTGTTGTGGTTCCAGGGGGTTTCGGTGACAGAGGTGTGGAAGGGAAGATCATTGCCGCAAAATATGCCCGTGAGAACAATATACCATACCTTGGGATTTGTTTAGGAATGCAAATCGCTGTGATCGACTATGCTCGATCTGTTCTTGATCTTCAAAATGCAAATAGCACCGAGTTTGATCCCAAAACTGAAAACCCGTGTGTTATATTTATGCCGGAGGTTTGTGTTCAAACTAATTCGATTTCTGATGATCCTTTTGATCATATATCAAACCGCTTGATACAACGGTAACTCTAACAGGGCTCGAAAACTCATATGGGTGGCACCATGCGTCTGGGATCTAGGAGGACTTATTTTCATGCTACAGACTGCAAATCTGCACAACTGTAAGAATTACTGTTTAGAGTCTGACGTCAGCTAGATTTAGACCATTTCACCTCTATATATGTCGGAACCCCCTTATGACTCTTTTGGAGAGTACAATTATAACATGATTATGCCTTGAAATTGATCTTTAAGGGAAACGAATGGTTGTCGGACATGTTTGATATGTAGCTAACTGGAGCAACTGATTGTTTTTGTATCAGATACGGTAATCAGAGCTTCATCGATGAGAGACATCGGCATCGATATGAAGTATGTGATGATGATATTGTTTGCTTTTGATAAGGCTTCAAATGCAAGTTGTTTATGATTTATTTTGATTTCGGAATCAGGTGAACCCAAATATGGTGCCGCAGCTAGAAAAAGCCGGTCTCAGTTTCACAGGCAAAGATGAGAGCGGGCAGCGGATGCAGGTAGGTTATTTCGTCTAAATTCATTCGTCCGTTGCAGGATGCACTACAACAGAATTGATTTCATTAGTACACCCAAAAACATCATATCAACTTATTGCAACACCTTTTCATAGGAGGCACTGTTATTTGTACCTCCTGTAAACTTAAGTCTTATAAAGCCGATTTTGTTGTAGTGATGGTTAATTGGTTATGTCCGATGGGCGAAAATGAAATGGGATATTCTTTTTAATGAACAGATTGTTGAGCTCCCGAGTCACCCGTATTTTGTGGGGGTTCAATTCCATCCGGAATTCAAGTCGAGACCTGGAAAACCTTCAGCACTATTCTTGGGGCTTATAGCAGCAGCAAGTGGGCAGTTGGATTGGTTGTTAAAGAAGAGCGTTGGTTCGAAGGCGAATGGATGTAGCATCGGCAAAGGCATGTCGGGATTATCATCAACACATCATCGGTACGTTAACGTAAACGGAAACGTAAGCGTCGGATCGTTTGATGGAATGTACAGTAACAGCAATGGTTTGCATGTGTGAAAAGAGTTGGTTTATAGGAATAGATTTGTTGGTTTTGTATAGTGTTAGTGTGGATGGATGGAGCTGCGATCCGGTTTTTTATACGGATCAGCCTTTGCCTTTGCCTTTGCCGTCGCCGTCTAGTCGTAGACAAGTTTCGATCGTAGTTCACTCGATCTACTTGTTTTAGATCGTCAACTATTTGAACTTTTCAAAGGATTCTGACTTATGTTTCGTATATGTTAGAATCGAAGTAATGAAAACCACTTTTCCGCACATATCAAAATGTATAAGGTCCGTTTTGTCGTTTATTTGTCGTCAAGCGAAAAGGGTTATATCGACCCCGGTAGAGCCTAGCCTTCTATGAACTCGAGGGTTCAAATTCTCGTATATAAATATTATATCCTAAAACAAATTATAAATAATTATAAAAACAATTAAATTATCGTTTTATTAATTGATTATTTATAAAACAAATGTTTTTAATATATATTAAAATATTATTACATACAAATCTTAAGAAATTTCATGAAATACAAACCATCCTGTGAAATTTCAATTTTTTATATTTATTAGATTTCAATGAAATTCTTTAAACTAAATATGGAATTCAATTCCAAATCTTTACACCAATAATATTGAATTATTATTTTATATAAAGTTTATTTAAAGTGTATCAAGATAATAAAATTAGAAAATGATTTAATAATATAATTAATATTAAAATCTTTAAAAAAAAAAATATGTGAGATTTGAATATAATCCATTTTAAATTTTAACTCCTGATTCTGTTTCTGGACAATTATAAATGGTTTGGGCCATGGAGTTTAAAGAGACCAAATGGGCAAATGTAATTAGTATTTGGGCCCAGCCCAAAAATACAAATTTCCTTGGCTTATTGGGTATGGGTAATACATGTACGAGGAAGTTAAAAAACCAATTTGTATTTTGTAATATACAAATATTATATTAAAAACTACTAAGAATCATAATAGATTATGTATTTTAGAACTACTTGATGATAAGCAATTGATGCAATAATATATGATGCAAAGATTTGATTTTGTCCAAGATTTGGGTATATATATATAAGTGCGCACAATTAACAAATGAACTGGCAGTGTAACATCGATAGATGAACCGGCGGTGTAACCGCGATAGATGAATTGACGGTGTAACAGCGATAGATGAACTGGCTGTGTAACCGTGATAGATGAGTGATGCAATAATATATTAAGACCCAGGTTTGTTAAAATTTTGGATTTTGAAATATATATTGTTTGTATAAGAAAGATACACTCACTAGACCTTTTTGTCTAACGTTCAATTATTGAACTAATCTGTTTTTTAAGGTCATCTATCATCACAAAACAAAGGCAAGGAAAAAATGTAATGAAGTGTTATTTAGATGTTTGTGCTGTAACAGACAAAGTTTTTGTTAACCCATATTTTCTCTTGTTATGTAAACACAGTATTTTGGGTTATACTACGACAATTCTATGTTCATATGAGTGAATGTTGCTATTATATATCATGAACAACATAGTGGTTTGTTACAATTATATATATACACACACACGAAGTATCATGCGAGAAGCTGATCTATTTACGAGAAGGCGAGAAATAATCTCAACCTCCCACCTCATTTAATCGATGGTTGGAAAATAATATGACATTCTTGAAATTATAAACAAATCAACGCTGAATTTAGATAAGCTTAATAGTAGTTTAGGGGTAATGTGGGAACAATATTTTTAATCACCTTTTATTTGGGAGAAAATCAAGGACTAGGTAATTATCCTACTTGATTCCTCATTGAGATCTAATATTGAGAAAATAATGGGGAAAAAAACCCAAATTCCTTTTTTGCCGAATAAATAAAACATTTAATCAAGTCATTTGATGAAAATTGAAGTGGAACAAATAGAGAGTGATTATAAGTATATATAGATACAAACACAAACACATAATGTAATGAATGTTTAATAATCAATGGTTGCTTGTACCTTAATCGTGTAAAACCTCTTGATAGACCACATTTGATGTATAAACTCCACGACGATTGAATTTTTTGGCAGATTTAACCAATACCTTTGTAGTTCCTTGTGATATACCTCTAGATAATACCATGTAAAGTTGGTCATAAGAGAACTCCGATTTGGCAGATAAACACCTACGTTCGGGATCGTTTGTCCTTAAGCTTTATTTATCGTCACAGATAAGCTCAATCAAACTGGAAAAACTACTTTCGCTTTAGCTTAAATGAGAACATGTTATCTTCTGATGGACATAAAGGAATCCTAAAAACACCCTCTTGCCAGCATGTTGACCAACGACTATTTCAACATCGATAACATTCTGCTGAAACCTTTTGCATATCAATATTGTGCCATTACATAATCCATTCAAAGGGTCGATATTTCGTAGGAGTATGATTGGACATCCAATTTGTAACAACTTCAATTGAAGTGGTCTATCAGCCTGAGACCCAAACTTCTTTTATGATATTCCTGTCTCATAATAATTCCAAGAATTTCAATTTTGTTATGTCCTAAACTTTTTGTTGTTCCTTTTTTTTTTTTTGGCAAACTTATAAGTTAAAATCATATATTACCCTATTGTCATCATTAGTAATTAATCAAGGTAAAATATTCCCTTCATTTTGTCATCACTAAAACTCAAAAGCGTAGTTTAGACATTTGACTAACAGTCGAGTACTTATATGAAGCTATTCCCCTGGTCAAATTATGGGATCTTTATGGGATAGTTGATCCCGGCAGTTGGCGGTGCATTTTATTTACTTTAATCATTGTTTACATAAACTTACTGACGTGGTGACCTGTTCTACCAAAATGTTATGTCCATTTCTGTCCATGGTAACCGTTAATTACTGCTCCAATGCTGGATAAAAGCATATCCATTTTACATTGTGATTCATAAATGGCAATTTGAGTTTCTGCAGATCATTTCGACCTGATATGATGCATCCCACATGTAAACGTAAGCCTTATAATTCATATCATTTTTCTAAATAACTCGATCTAATTCATTCCATACCCAAAACCAGAAGCCAACAGATTGAGTCTGGACCTTTTACAGCCAAATCACCAAGCTTGAACATGGAAAATGAACCACATCTGTTGATGTTTATTTATTTGGTCTTCTTTTATAGATTCAATTGTTTGCAAATGATCAATGAATTACGACACAAATAGAACACTTCTAACGTTAGATAAAGTAATCAACTTAGATGAAGTTGTGCATAATGAAGTTTATACATAGGTCTATGTGCACAATTATTATTGTTGTTGTGTTGGCACCTATTTAGTCTATGAACATGATGCTTTTCTTGTCTCAAAAATTAATGTCAAAGATCTTGGAAACTGAAACCAGGTATGATTCAACTTCAATATCGGGATACATATGTTCAATTTTAGCTTCATAATCAATCGATTATGATGCTCAATTTATCAGTTGTAATCAATTATGAACTAAATATGAATCATTCCACATTAATTTTGAGAGAAAATACGCTAATTGAACTCAAACCAAAAGTAAACTAAATAACAACAAGAACACGAACCACAAAGCACAATTTTTACTACTACCAATTAATGCCAACATGTATCTACATCTTAATTTGAATAACAACAATTTGAAACAGGTTCTAAACCCTAAATCCATTTACAAGAAATAATTACAAAATATTGACAAGACAAAAATAGAAATCAATCTATTTACAGGAAAATATTTACCAGTTAATTCTAAGATTATATGCTAATAGTTTTCATAGAAATTGAAAAAAGAACTTTAACTTTAGATTAACATTTGAATTCATTGACAAAAGGCTAAAAATGATGTATGGAACAAGCAAATGTTCATGGACACAACATTGAACCTCTACTGTGTCAGGACAATCATATTCTAATAAACTGTTTGAATTTGACGCACAGTTGTTCGTGGATGACTCATGGGTGTCCTTTTGATGTACTAGGATACTAGGACTTTTTGATAACATGTTGCTGACACACATTCTTCTTCAATCTTTAAAGTAACTCTTTAATTGAAACTTCGCTCAAATCAGATGCTTTCAATTTTAATATTGCCGACATACTTATGAAGTTATTCCAATTTATTCATTGGCATTAAACCTAGATCGTTGTTCCCGATAAATTAACCAATACTTTCTACCTGGGCTCCATCATGAACTATTTACATTATAATCCAAAAAAAAGGGTTCTAGAAGAATAGAACAAATGACGTGGAGTTAAGAGCACTTTCATTCCTATATAAAGTGATAGATGTAAGAATAAGAATCCACAACGGATTGTGTCCTTCAAGTCGCACATTGTTTTCTACTCCATTGTTTTAAATAAAGTTTTACCATAACATTCCTCTAATTTGGAACCAGAATAGAATTGATTCAGTTATGAAATCATAAAAATACATTTATTCAATCAACACAAAGACATAGTAATTATATGTATATTTTCTTATCTATACCATCTTATAAACCAGATTTATCAAAAGTCTTAAAAACAATTTTTAATGCACAAAGTACTATACATTTATACACAAAGTCTTAAAAACAACCCATAATGCATTAAGTACTACTACTTTATGCATTCAGTCTTAAAATCTCTTAATCTACAATTAAAATAACATATAGTACAAGTTACCAATGCACATTATTACCTTTTCTATTTATGTTCCCAAGATACTTTTGACATCTTTCACTCATGTCTTCACCATCCATACCTCTATGTCTTCTCCTCATCCTCCAAGGTGAGATTCAAATTGATATTCATCATGAGTTATTAATAGTTCTCTCATTCATCTGTCATTCAATTGCTCTAGAATTCTCGGTCTCACTCTCGATCTCTTGATTTTTTGCTCTTGGTGTAAATCAAACGCATTTGTGGAGTCGTTTAAATATGTTGAATTTTAAATATATTGGATTTCAAACTGTCGTACAATTTTTTTCATCGATAGACTGTAATTTGAACCATAACTCTTATATATTCAAATTGTATTAATATGTAAAGACCAAGTGTAACTTATATCATCGTTAAATCTTCTCTAATAAAACCAGTGAAACTTCAAAATCGTTAAAATTCACGGCTCCCGCCGCATTGCGCTGGTACACAACTAGTCTACATATAATTAATAATAGAGATTTTTTCAAGGGAATCTTAGCAAGGCCCGACTTTTATGTATGAATGGAACAAATTTTTTTTATAAATCTCTATCTAAAGAAAATACTTAAAGAAAACATCCA